ATTGAACTTAAGTAATCATATCCGCGACTTTTCTTTTCTTTTCAAATTATAAAAATATGCTTTCAAAGCAATATAAAAGCTTTTAAAAAGTTAAACACTTCAGACAACGTGCGCTATCTTTTACGATATATCTAATATATATAATTCTCTTACGCGGCTCCCAATTTTTGGCTGTATTTCTTTTCAGCCGGTGGCAACGTATGCTTTGTTTTGTTTACGTTACTATTTCTATTACACGGCGAATCGACCAATGATTGCCGCTAAAAATGTCGCATGCCAAATCTAGTTGAGGTGACTCAACATATAGCGCTTTTAAAAACGGAGACTGTAATAACGAGAGAGCATCAGCTGCGGCAATCTCATACTATTAAGGTAGTCAGAAGTGAATAGTCTTTGTCGATATATCTCTATTTTAGTATTTTGTCGAAAGCGCTTTTTTTCGCGAATTTATATATTACGAATTTATTTGACGATTTTTGATTTATATTACGAATTATACTATAGCACATTTCTAATAGGTTTAACGAATTACATGTCATTTATTTGAATTCAAATTTATTTTAGTGACTTAGTATTTACTAAAAAGATGTAATTTTTTTTTAAAAAAAAGTTTTTATATGGAATTCAATCATTGTTTTGAATTCTTAGAATTTTGTGCAGTTGCAATGTACCTAAGTTAGTAGCGAGAGAAGCGAGCTTGACTTGCGAAGCAAACCATATAAGATTGCGTAGCAATTTTCGGGGGTTGGCGAGCGTTAGTGAGCAGGGGGCGCAGCCCACTAGTATAATAGAATTATTTAAAAAACGTTAGCGAATTCATATCGACCAGCGATGGCTGGGAGATATGAATTCCGCATCCGGCTTGCACCGACTACACATGACGTAAAATACCCTCAGTGGTAGACGGATTATGGGTTACAGTTCCCTCGACGTAAGACTAACCGTGGGAGGTTTTCGTGGTTTCCCCCTCCAAGTAACGTAAATGCGGGTTAGTTCCTTCAAAAAGTCTTCCACAAAAGCAAATTTCCCCCAATACTTGATCCCCTTACCTTCAGGATTGAATTCAAAATGACAAGGCTACTGAGTTGAAGATTAGTAGTCGTTAGTGCCCAAAAATTGGTTCGACTGTTTGACGACGGTTATAAAATAAATAAATAAAATGATTCTGACCACTCGTCTCCCGATGAGATGATCAAGGTGTCTGATCGATATGAATGTGTCCCTGTACGCACCAACTGCAGTACTGATGAAAATAGCCTCATTAGTAGACGGTTAAAATTCAGAGAGTTCTCTAACGGCTGGTACAGAAAAATCGGTCTTCTACTACGCTGCAAAAGTCGTCAAAATAATTACGATGTCTTAATTGAAACTTTAAAGCCATATAAGGATGCCACGATTGACTAAAAATGTAAAAAGTGGTAAAAACTCAATTCATTTTGTTTATTTATAATCTCTTTATTCAATCGCAACTATCACTCTGTGATTTACATTTCAAATTATTCATATTTAAATCAAAAAAGTTCTTAGCGTCCACTTTCCACGGTAAACTAAATAAAATATGCTAGTAATTGTTGCTAATTTCAATCCCTTTAAATAAAACTTAGAAATCTATCTGCCACCACTTTTTGCATTTTTATTCAGCCGTTTGTGTGCAATCATTTCCATGGTGACTGTTACAAAGTACGTTATATATGGGAACATCGGGTGGCAGAGGTAAATAAAATGATACTATACTTTTTGCAAAATATTTTGTAAAGACAATCAGAATTTTGGTTACTTTAACCAACATTTCAAAAGCCTCTCGGTGAAAAAAGTGGAAGAAAGTGACCTTTTATATGAATTTTTCAATCATTCACAAGTTATGGCATGGAAAATATGCTACCACCAGAAATTTTTTCTCCGCAAAACGTACAAAATTAGCCACCTTGAAAAGGGTGACAATTTTTTAAAAGAGTGAAAAAGGGAGTGACGAGAAATGTGACACCACACATATTTATTAAAGTAAAAACATTTAAAATTGGCAGATTAAATAATTTTGTATTGTTTTTATTATTTTTTTTATTAAAACATGCAATCATTATTATAGTTATGCTTACAAATGTCATTAAAACAAAATAACTAAAATTTAAATTTAAAAAAGAAAATTTAAATATGATTTATTAATATGCGCTTGCGTCGCATGAATATCGTTTTTTATAATTTAGGGTGTCATGAGACAAGGGTTTGGGTATAGCAAAGTGTGACACTTCGTTACAAAGGGGAAGCGAAGATTAAAAATTTTGAAAAAAATTGTGACATCATTTCTGAACAACTGCTATTAATTTTTTTTNTGACTTAGTATTTACTAAAAAGATGTAATTTTTTTTAAAAAAAAAGTTTTTATATGGAATTCAATCATTGTTTTGAATTCTTAGAATTTTGTGCAGTTGCAATGTACCTAAGTTAGTAGCGAGAGAAGCGAGCTTGACTTGCGAAGCAAACCATATAAGATTGCGTAGCAATTTTCGGGGGTTGGCGAGCGTTAGCGAGCAGGGGCGCAGCCCACTACTATAATAGAATTATTTAAAAAAAACGTTAGTGAATTCATATCGACCAGCGATGGCTGGTAGATATTAATTCCGCATCCGGCTTGCATCGACTACACATGACGTAAAATACCCTCAATACAAGACGGATCATGGGTTAGAGTTCCCTCGTCGTCAGACTAACCGTGGGAGGTTTTCGTGGTTTTCCCTTCCATGTAACGTAAATGCGGGTTAGTTCCTTCAAAAAGTCTTCCATAAAAGCAAATTTCCCCCAATACTTGATCCCCTTGCCTTCAGGATTGGATTCAAAATTACAAGGCTACGGAGTTCAAGATTAATAATCGTTAGCCCCAAAAATTGGGTCGGCTGTTTGACAACGGCTAAAAAATAAATAAATAAAATGATTCTGACCACTCGTCTCCTGATGAGATGATCAAGGTTTGAATCATAACGATGTCTGATAGATATGAATCCCTCCCTGTACGCACCAACCGCAGTACTGATGAAAATAGCCTCAGTAGTAGACGGTTAAAATTCAAAGAGTTCTCTAACGGCTAGTACAGAAAAATCGGTCTTCTGCTGGGCTGCTAAAGTCATCAAACCAATGACGACGATGCCTTAATTGAAACTTTAAAGCCATACAAGGATGCCACGGGTGACTAAAAATGTAAAAAGTGGTAAACTCAATTCATTTTGTTTATTTATAATCTCTTTATTCAATCGCAATTATCACTCTGTGATTTATATTTCAAATTATTCATATTTAAATCAAAAAAGTTCTTTGTGTCCACTTTCCACGGTAAACTAAATAAAATATGCTAGTAAAAGTTGCTAATTTTAATCCTTTTAAATAAAACTTTGAAATTTATCTGCCACCACTTTTTGCATTTTTATTCAGCCGTTTGTGGCAACCATTTCCATGGTGACTGTTACAAAGTACGTTATGTATTGGAACATCGGGTGGCGGAGGTAAATAAAATGATACTACACTTTTTGCAAAATATTTTGTATAGACAATCAGAATTTTGGTTACTTTAACCAACATTTTAAAAGCCTCACGGCGAAAGAAGTGGAAGAAACTGACCTTTTATATGAATTTTTCAATCATTCACAAGTTATGGCATGGAAAATATGCTACCACCAGAAATTTTTTCTCCGCAAAACGTACAAAATTAGCCACCTTGAAAAGGGTGACAATTTTTTAAAAGAGTGAAGTGGGGAGTGACGAAAAAATCACATCACACATTTTATTAAATTAAAAACATTTAAAATTGGCGGATAAAACCTTTTTGTATTGTTTTTAATTTTTTTTATCAAAACATACAATCATTATTATTGTTATGCTTACAAATATCATTAAAACAAACAGTTAAAAGTTTCAAAAGGAAATTTAAATATGATCTATTAATGAGTTTGTGTCGTATGAATATCGTTTTTGTAATTTAGCGTGACATGAGACAAGGGTTTGGGTATAGTAAAGTGTGACACTTTGTCACAAAGAAGATGCGAAGATTGAAAATTTTGAAAAAAATTGTGACATAATTTCTGAGCAACTGCCATTTTTTTTTTTTTTTTTTTTTTTTTTTTGTTTTTTTTTTTTNTTTTTTTTTTTCATTTTTAAAACATGAAAGATGTTTGAATTCTTCTTAATATTTCAGGAAGAAAGAAAGGGACTTCCACAATTCAGGACTATTATTAAGCAAAAATTATAGGTAAAAAGGTTTCTATCTATAATTTATGTTTTCAAACTTGAGGTAGTTTATTTACGTTGAAAAAACGCTCGATTTCTAATAAAAAATTAAAGGAGTATTCAAGTAATTATATATTACTGTCACTGTGAATATTACTGTTTAAGAATTTTCTGTGACATTGTAGAATGAGCTACAAATCCGTCATTGATATTTCTTGGATAGTAGATTTTTAACCACATAAAATATCACTGAATTTTACGAAATTAGTAAAAAATTACGCGTCAATAAATTTTGGTAATATTTGTACTTTTTTTTGAAACTTAAAAAAATATTATTTAAAAATTCTCAGTGAAAAATTATGTTTAAAATTTAAAAACTCATCGCTGATAGTGCATTTCGGATGCAAAACTAATTTCAGTTTTTTATCAATGTGAATTCAATATTTTTCAATCAATATGAATTTAATATTTTTCAATCAATATGAATACAATATTTTTCAATCAATATGAATTCAATATTTTTCAATCAAAATGAATTCAATTTTGCATCAATATTTTTTATCAATATAAAGTTTATGCTCCAAAAACTTTTATTGCACTCGTATTTTTTTAATTCGAAATTTAAAATATACTGTTCAAAAATATATAATTGATACCATTGATAATTTAATCTCAAAATTTACAATTCCCCGAATCATAATTGATATTTTCCGATTAAAAATTTTTAATTCGTATAAAATTATTCTAACATTTCTCTATAATCAAAAATTTAAATCATTACTTACCTAAAAAAAATTATGGGTGTATGTTATCCTTACTCGCATAACTTCCCTTATCCTTTAGATATATCCAATTGGCACAAAAAGAAAGAGAAAAATTAAAATTGATAAAATTCACACACTGGTTGAAATCCTTAATTCTGTTCAATTCGATTACTACGCACATCCAAACACGCCTAAAATAAACAAAACTTTCCTTCGCAGAACGTTCTTTCTCTAGTGTTTAAAGAGTTCTATTCCCGTATCGTCCGGTTCGGGCTGAATTGTTTCGAAAGTGAAGAAAGTCAGCAGACGACATCCCTCAAACGAGAGAGAAAGCTATTGCCCTACTTCCCAAATACGGTTTGGAGCTGCTATTGCTATTACCTTTCTTGGCCTATATCGTTCTAACACCTTCCCCCTTCTCCCCCNAAACATAAAATTTTTCATAATGTAATAATAGGCGTAGCTTCCGTTTTGGTTTTTATGTAGGATATCGTTTGGTTTTATGAAGTTAGAACAACAAAACACTACTCTCGCAGCGCTTTTATCCCACTCTCGTGATTTGCGTTACGTCTTTTAAACCTAATGAGAAATATAGATCATCCAAAATCAATAAATAAAAACATTTCCGCATTACTGATTAAATTAACTGATTTTTATCTTAACAATAACCCTTACACAATTTCCATAATACTAACTTTTATTTTTTCCAATTATTTCCAAAAATATTGATCCAAACAACATGAGGTTACAAGAGATTACCAGAAAAATCAATGTGTGTTTGCAAAGGATAAACGACATGAAAATAAGCAAGGGACTATGATGCAAAGATAATGTCAAGTACTTGACTCGACACATGATGTAAGGTAAATGGTACTGGAAATTTATGGTACTTTGAATCCTAATAATGGTACTTTGAATAATGATTATAGGACATTCTACGATCTAATCCTAAAATGGCACACAGATCTTAGCGAAGAGGATAACTTTACATTTTAGTCTCTTGTTTACTCAAGAGAGATGACCTGTAAGACCAACATAACACTCCAAATTTATGACTCATTGCAAAATATAAACGAAATGGAGATGAAAATAGGAAGATAATGTCAAGTACTTAAGTATAATAATCATTATAAATATAAAAATGAAATGTATGTAAAAGTGACTGCATTTTTTACGTTAACTAAATAAGTAGGTAAGTACTTTATTTACGTCGCACTAGAGCTGCACAATGGGCTATTGGCGGCGGTCTGGGAAACATACCTAAAGATGATCCGAAAACAAGCCATCACAATTTTGATCCTCTGCAGAGGGGATGGCTTTCCTGCTTTGGTAGTCTAACGACCTGCACTTGAAGTCGAGCACTTTACGGTAGAACAGTTTAACGAGGGCAGATACCGTTCACCATCGGTCCCTATGCAGGCTCATCAAAGTGGCAACCCACCCGCTTACTGATCGCAGCCATTGATGCTTGATTCCGGTGTTCTACTGGGAACCGTGTCTTTACTTTGGCCATGGTCTTTACATTCAGTCCACTGCGGAACTTGACTAAATAATCTGTCCTTTTAAAAAGGACGCTGGGTACAAAAGCGTTAATAGAGTTACAAAGTTACTTCAACTTCATCAGAGAACTAATAATTTAAAAAAAAAACACAATATAAAAGAAGTGACAAACTACTAAAAGTAACTTATTTTAGGAAAGGAGTAAACTATCCCTAACTGTTACTATTTAGTAACAGGTAATTACTAATTGTTAAACATATGCACTGTTGTGTGCTCATAAAAATGTACGGTGGTGCAAAAGCAAAGGCAGATGGATAATGAATTTGAATCTTGATGAAAGATGAGCATTGAGTTAGGACTACGTAGTTATAAAATACAATGTGGTGATACAAAGTGATAAATTATATTAAATCCTTGGCGTTTTATATGCCCTTTTGAATCATTTTTACGTAGTCGTGTGAGAAACATATCTTTAAATCAAATTTGCAAGTCAAAGAATCACACACACTCAACTACCATTAGAAGAAATTTTTCTAAATAGCGTAGAAATTTGGTAGCCCTGCAAACAGCACAAGTAAGTAAAATAAGTCATAAATACTCATCCAGGACAACGTAGGGATTCGAACCTGTTACCTCCACGATAATGAGAGCTCAGCAAATCGTGAACGGAAATTTTGCATACAATGTCTGGGATGATAACTGCTTCGCTTTCAGCAAATGCTACCTTAGTACTATGGTTAACCATCAATAGAAGTTTTATTCTCATGAACCAATAATCCACGATAATCCGTGATGATTCCAATTATACATTTCTATGATGGTGTAAAGTAAATTCATGTTGGTTCTCCGAAATATACCATTAAAATAATTCGGTTTTTTATTGGTCCATCATAAACCAGTCCGAATTCCTACATTAAGATGATAGTTATTCATGATAGTTCCAACATTTCATATCNTCGATATGTCTTTGTCTATAACGAGATGCAAAACATCGTTTGCTCTTAAACGTCTTATTTTAGGAATTAAACTATAAAAGTAAGACAAGTAGGACTATTTATTTTTATGTTATTTTAACTTACTCCAGCGTAACATACTTAGTTGTGCTAAAAAGTAGGTTTATAACAGTTTAGTTACTTAAGTTCATTTTGAAATTTTGTTCTAAAATCTATAAAACGCAATTTGTTATAGTTTTTGAAAGCAAACGATAATATTATTTTAAATTTTTAAATAAAATTTTAATTAAAAAAATTAAATCCTTTTTGGCCATGTAACCATTTCTCAAAAGTATGCATTATGTCAGACAAAAGTAAATTTTCTCAAACATTATATAAATATACTTGAAAAGGATTAACGTTTTATTTGTAGTTGTCATAATCGTAGTCAATTAGAGTATTCCGTGCCCATTTTTGGTTGACCAGTGAAATTATTCAGTTATTCTTGACTTTCTTCATTCTTTGATTCATTCATTATTCAGATTTTGAATAATTATTCATCATTCTTTATTCATTATTCTGAATGACAAATGCCCATCTCTGGTCCATCATAAATCAAACAGAATTCCAACATTGTGGTGACAGTGGTTCATGGTCTTTCCAACATTTGATTTCTAAGAAACTATGATGGAAATTTTTGATGGATGAACGTGAACAAACCATCAAAAAAAGTAGCCATTCTCATGGTGGACCATCGTAAAACAGTTCCTACATTGGGGTGATGGTTACTTATGTTGGATACCATCAAAACATAAAATTTTTCATAATGTAATTATTGATGAAGTAGCCATTCTCATGGTGGACCATCGTAAAACAGTCCAAATTCCTACATTGGGGTGATGGTTACTTATGTTGGATACCATCAAAACATAAAATTTCTCATAATGTAATTATTGATGGTTATCATCAAGATTATGTTGGTCTATCAATGGAAAAACTTTGACTTGAGTCTCCCTGCTTTATCATTTCTCCGATGGAAGTGGTGAGAAACAGGTATTTTTTCTATACACATGATATTTTGGGTTTGTTACGGGTATGCCAACTGCTCCCCTTTCTGCAAAAGTTCCTATAAATTGGTAGCAAATTAAACAGTAAAACTTATAGAATGAGGATGATTGCACTAACTTACTTTTTAAAAGTGTCATAACTGCAATAAAGTTGCAATTCATCTGATTTTTTGATTTTTGAATTTTTACATGTAGCGGCGAAAATATTACTTAAAATGAAAAGTACTAAAGTATAAACAACTTAATAAATTTCGTTACTACTTAATCTTACTACTAGAAAATATTTTTTTACAAAGCGTACCAAGTTGGCACCTTTGGTGTTAGTAATTTAAATAGCTTTAGTATTATTGACTTTTATCTTGTCTGAAAAATAAAGTGAAAATTTTATTATCTTTAATAGTATGCTAAGAGTCACGGTGGCTCAGGGGATGGAGCATTCGCCTTCCAACGATGTGAACCGGGTACGAAACCCAGCGACGGCTAAGCTATACGAATTCCGCATCCGACTTTCACCGACCACAGAGCTGACGTGAAATATCCTCAATGATAGACGGATCATGGGTTTGAGTCCCCTTGCCGTCAGACTTACCGTGGGATGTTCTCAGGGTCTTCCTCTCCATGTAACGCAAATGCGGGTTATTTCCATCAAAATGTCCTCCGCGAAGGCAAATGTCTTCCAATACTTAATCCAGTAGTTCCCTTGTCTTCTAGATTGAGTTTAAAATTGCAAGGCTACGTAGTTGAACATTATTAGTCGTAAACCCAAAAATTGGATTGGCTGTTCAACCACGGTTATAAAATAAAATTGTATGCTGAAACGATAAAATTAAATAAACTTCCTCAATCATTATCTTTAACTTCATGATGACTATTACTTTTACATGGGATTAAAAAAACTTATAATCAGTAAAGACAATCATTGTTCATTCATTAAAAAGCGTTAATTAATATTTTAATCGTACTCAATTTATATATTCTTGGATGAGCACAAATAAATAAAAGATACAAATAGTGATTAATATACAATTTCAATAGTGATAATTACTGAGGTAAGATATTTAGCATAAAATTAGCATTGTACGGTCATATAACGACAAATTAATTATGAGAAATATGATAACACACTTTATTAACATGACCATTATGCTTATCCTTTGATATTAACAATAAGCAATAACACTTTAAAGATAATCTGTGTAACAACAATGCCCCTCTTCTTCCTAAACATGTCCGTGCGTTCTGTTCCAAAAGTGACCTCCAAAAAGGAACTACTGATAAGAATATTAATCAGTTCGTCATGCCCTGCTGATGAAAATAATATCGCTTTAATGATTGACTTCTATTAATGTATTCGACATCATTCTACTGTTATGTTTATTAATAAGAACTTGTAGTTTTAGGCGTTGATTAGCAAGGTGTTTACTATCGAAATGATGATCAGTTTTGTGAACTAAATTTGTAATAAGATATGATGCATTGTTACAATTGTCTCTGTATAAAATCAATAAGATGTGAGTCTTGCTAAATTTTGGTGCAATTTGGATGATTTTTTTCGCAATATTTTGAAGAAAAAAAAAGGAAAGTATGTTTAAGTAAATTGTAAAAGTTAAGTAAATTTAAAAAAAACCTTGATGGGTTTATCATTTTTTAAAAAAATTGACGGATTTATCATTTTAAAAAAATTGACGCATTTATCATTTTTTGACGTAGAACAACAAGGTGTTAACTATCGAAATGATGATCAGTTTTGCAAACTCAATTTGTAATAAGAAATGATGCATTGTTACAATAGTCTCTGTATAAAATCAATAAGATACGAATCTCGCTAAATTTTGGTGCAATTTGGATGATTTTTTTCGCAATATTTTGAAGGAAAAAAATGAAAGTATGCTTAAAAATGTAAAAAA